TGTGTGTGTGTGTGTGTGTGTGTGTGTGTTTATGCTGGTTAATCGAACCCAGGGATTCACACATGCTGGGCAAGTATTCTGCCACAGAGCCTTGCCCCAGACCTTTCCATTTTAATAATATTATTCTCCCGAGGAAGTAAAATCACTATTAGAGGAACATGTGGCTTGTCCCCAAGCTGACTACCTCACTTAGTCTCATACATAACTAAAGACATTGAGACAACGAAGGGTCTAGGTTTCCTTCTATCCCACATGGAGCCATGAACAGAGGATTTGAGTGATGTCATCAGTGTAGTGTCTGATACAAATGGAAGAGAATAGATAGCCTGTTAGTGTTCGAGGCATTGTTATTTCATTCATAAAATCAATTGGAAGTTGTCTATCTCTTCTTAAACGTTGCCTTGCTACAATAGCAAGGCAGTTTCTAGGAAGTTGGCCCAGAGAAGTTGGTTGATAAAAATAAAATGCATTACATATTGCTTTCTAATAACTATATGATATAATGGAAATAAAATATTCTCTTGATATTGGACACAAAATTATGAAACATTTATGAATGTGATTTTGAAATATGTGCTCTGAAATAGAAGGGAAGTATGCAGGAGACATTCTATCAGGTTTCTGCTGAATGCTAAAATACTGTTTCAAACTACCATTCTTTTTTGGAAAGAGAGAGTAATTTTGAGGTGCTGGGAAGCCTTTTCTCAAGCAGTCTGTGAACTCCGTGCAGCCCCAGTCATGCATCAGAAAAGGATTTTGGTGGTATACGACCAAGATGAGCACCTCATAAAATTGTCTTGAAGAGGAAATAGGGAGATATCAAACAGGGGCTCTGATCATTCTGCATATCAAGACTCACTCTATAGGATTAGCAGTGCAAACAGGAATTGATTAACATTTCACTGAAGCAGAAGTAGACATCTTAAAAGTATATTCATGTGTATTTGGAGATCAAGTAGCTTGCATTTTGATGGTCATCCTGCCTCAAAGTAGACTCTTAGGGCCGTGTGTGTGTGTGTGTGTGTGTGTGTGTGTGTGTGTGTTCAGATGCAAGTGCAGAAGGACTTCTGCGGTCACTTGGAATCCCTGTTTAATAACTGAATAATCATGGAAGGTTTGGTACATGTCTATAAGATATCTTGATCATTGTGATTGCTTTATCAGCCCTACCTTCATGTGACTCTGATTCCTTTCCTCATCGCTAACATGTCTTCCCTTTTGTTTCCCTCCGTGTTTCCTTCATTTTCATATTTTACGAATTTATTTTTATTTTAGGTTTCTGATGCAAGATAAATCATGTCATAGTTAACTTTCTGTTTGCCTTGCTTCTCTCAACATTATTGTCTCAGGTTCCTTTCGTTTTCTTGCAAATGACACGCTTTCATTCTTTAAGGCAGAATAATATTCCACCGTGTGTATATACAGCATTGCATTTATACAGTCACGTGTTTTTCTTCGTAAAGAGAAAAGGTTTTACTGGAACATTGGCGGGAAGATAGAAAAGGAAGCCAGCTTAGGTTGTTGGAGCCAAGTCATCTGTCGGTGAGTACCTGGGCCATTTGGCGAGTTACAGGTAACCCTGGATCCCAGTGAGTGTGACAGGTGTTCTCTGCTGTTTCCTCCTGCAGCCCTCCGTGGAGCTGAGGAAACATGGATAAAGGCCACTCTGAGGTCAGTCCCTGCACACAGCAGCCGAGGATCAGGAGGAAGGCAGATCAATACTTGAGAGCAAGCCTGGCCTCCCAATCCGTGCTGAGTGTTTTCCTTGGTAGACAAATAGGAAGGCACAGCAGCGATGTGCACCTGGCCGAGTGGTTGTGGATGGTGACCCCATCAACAGCCCCAGAGTGGAGATGGCCTTGGCCAAGACACCAAGGAAGGCACGCCCCTGCGTGCCCTGAGGGTGAAGAGCAATCCCAGAAAACAGGTTAAATCAACAAAACCTGCCCCTGTGAGAGTATTAAAGTGGAAGCGTGCTTTCCTTCCTTTGGTTGGAGGTGGCTCTTTCTTCACGCGGCCTCTGTGCTCCCGTCCCACCTGGGTGCCACACCGTGTTCACGCAGTGAACACTGGTGCTTGCACCCTGGTCACTTACCCTTTCCTACTGCTGCAGACGGTGGGTGATTCAGAGGGACCATATTCAGAGTAGCTCAAGGTCAGCTGAGGGCACTGGTGCTCATACCCTCCTCATCCACATTTCTAGGGGATAGGACTGCAAGGGGAGCCCTGGGAGCCTCAATCTGTCTTCCTTTGAAGCTTGGTGGAGGCAGTGAGAAGGAGTGCGAATCACACGTGATTGGAAAGAAGGAAGGAGGGGACCGGGTTCGAGCTTACCCAAGACAGCCGCATGGAGGCCATGGGTCAGAGGCTGCAGTGGATGGACACCCAGTGATGTCTTCTTCAGACCAGGCATGACACTAGTCTGCAACAGGGGAAATCAGGTGTCCATTCCCGTGAACCTCGATCCAGACAAGGGAGAGTTTCCTGACTCTGACCTCCTGGCCCTCTCCTTGTTGAACAGATCCTTGGTCCCAGGTGGAAGGGGCCAGATAGTGGCTGAGTCCACATGGAAGGATCGTACCGAAGCTCACTCCTTTCCTCCTGCAGGTTGAGGACTAGTCCTCATGTCAGATGAAGGAAGCGAGAAATTGTGACATTGAGAGATGAGCGCCGTGATGATCACCGGGTGGGAAAGGGATATTGCTGAGCCCTCGCCAGGTGGAGTGCCGGGGTGACCCGAAACAGGGTGTGACGTGACAGGGACCAGAGAAGTGCAGTGCTGTCTTTCAGGTTTCTAATGGGGCGGGGAAGAGGGGGCCACATAGAATGGATATGGGCGGGGCGTTAGCGAGGATTATCAGCCAAAATTATTTGGATTTTGCTTCCGCTTTTTTAATGTGCTGGTCATGTATATATGGGAATGGCAAAGGAAGCTTCAGAATACCTCTTAGTTCAGGGGTGGATGGAGTCCTACTGCGTGAACTTTCACTTTCTTCGATAGTTGGTTTGTACACAGACATGTCTTTTTTGCTACTGTACATCTCCTTAAGCTGGCATGCATCAGCCGTTGAGAAAGAAAACGGGAGATAGATAAGGAGCAAGCGGAAAGCGCAGGAGGAAAAGAACGGTGATCATCCAGTTTCTGAAAGCATCTTCTACTCGCTGCCCTATATTGTAGTGTGGGGGGGACATGACATGCACGTCACTTAAATGTGAATTCCCAGGAAGCACACACTGTGACACACCTGTGTGCACAAAAGGGGGCTTGAGGGGAAGTGCAGGCAGCCGCGGTAAGGGTGGGGATGTGAAGTGCACATGAAGGCAGCCAGCTAAGGGGCAGTGATCGCACAAGCCCCAAAGTGGGCAGGTGGAGTTGGTTTCCAGAAGACACCGTGGATGCCCGTGTAGATGGCACCACAGCTCAGATTCATCCCAGGGACAGCATGAAGAAGCTGCCTCACCTCGCCACCAAACAGCTTTCTGTCACTGTTACACGGTCTCTTGCAGGAGCAGAATCAGCTCCCTTATTTCCAGCTGGCCTCGTTTTAAGCCCGCATGGTGCTAGAGTGGGTAAGCCCCTTAAGGCGGAGTCCTGAGTGATGGTTGTAAGCGGTGTCTCCCTTGTAAAGGAGACCCAGCTTCAAAGGGCAGAATGAAAATATGAAAGTCAGTGTGAGAATGTTTGTGCCATTCTCTGTCCCTGACTTACGGCAGTCTCAGCAGTTTCGATTTTAAAAGATATATGTACTCCACCCTGGATTCACATCGGCTCTTTGGATATGCTTGATAGGAATAATCCACAGGGTTCTGAGTCATTTCAGGAGCTTTCAACGAGCAACGCTTGTCCCATAGGTCTCTCTGATTAAATGGAATGCATGAGGTGCATTCCATATTTATGAACCTTTGAAAAGGTAAGAGTTGGAGAAATTTTACAGACGGTCAGGCCCGGATATCTAACATGCATGTGTTCTGGCCTGGAGCCTCACAGATATCCTGGGTGTTTGCTCTTTTATTGTCCTCTCTCAGGACAGTGGAGGGAGGATTGGCCCTAGGATGTTGCCCAAACTCAAGTGGGTGGAGGGGAGTGGTCTCCCAGCCCTCATTGTACTACCTACCTTCACTCTTTTCTGTTACAGGATATTGTGGTCCTTGTCCCCACCTCGGGAAGGTGAAGGCCTGCAAATGTTCAAGGACAATCTCTTGAGAGTGGCTCAGAGCTCTTGAGAGTCCTCATGACTTTCCGTGCTGCTCGGCCATGCACTGCAGGTGGCGATGATGGTTAGGCCTGAGGTCACAGGGAGGAGGTCCAAGGGAGGGGAGGGCTGTGAGGTCCAGGACGGTTCCAAGAATGAAGTCTCCTTGCTTCACAGGCTTAGACACCGGCAATTCTGTGTGTCTAGCTTGGCCCTAATGTCTCCCTTAGTTGACCATTTCAGTTTCTTTTTCACTGGATCATTGTGAAAGCTGTGGACGATCCTCTAGCTGAGCATCCTGAGGCTGTCATTTCACGGCGGGGTCGGGGGGTTACTGTGTAGCAGTGGCTCCACACCACCTGATGGATCAGTCTTACCTTGGCCCTCATCACACGCAACAACTAGCATGACAGACTGGAACAATTTGGTAGGAATGAGAGCCCTGGTGAGTTCTGGGGGCCCTTGTGAGCAAAGAGGTAGAAAGCACAAAGGAGCGCAGGAATGTATGGAGGAGGGAAAGGAGCCACAAGGTCCACGTGAAAGCACTGCGTAATCTGAGGGAAATGGATGGGAGAAGGTGGTGAGGACACTGCCCCGCGGCAAAGGAACAGTCAGTCTAATGAGGTGCTTTGACTGTTGGTACATTGCCAAATCTTCTTTCTCTGACTTAAACGACAGACAAGTTACGCATTGGTAAGCAAATACCTACTGAGATACCTGTAGGCATCTCACACATTCAATCCGTCCATTCTTTCATGCTACTGTCACCCAGTTATCATGGTCACCTGAACATGGAAGGATGTCGATGCCTGCACTGGAAAGGCTCCTTAAGCACATGAGTACTAATCTGAAAATTCTCTGGGCCGGGTTCCTGGGACCATTTTCCATTAAAAATACTAATTCAGGCCTTGGTGGACAGCACATCACCCCACCCCTCCACCCCACCCTCACGATGGCGCCTGGAAGGCACTGGCCATTTGAAGCAGCAGAGGCTGGCTGCCGGCCGGCGCGATGGCTAGGAGCTTGGGTGGGCTGCGGCGGCCGGGGCTGCCGGGCCTGAGCCGCCTCTGCAGACCCCCCTGCCTGGGCTCCCCGCCTCCGCCGCCGCCGCCGCCACTGCCTCCGCGGCTCGCGCTGCCACCTATGTTGCCTGCACCCAGTGCCCAACCCCCCAACCCGGGCCCTGCAGCCTGCTGCCTGCTTGCGCGGGGCCCAGCCTGAGCCTCTGCCTGGGCCCGGACGAGGTGCGCTGGCTCATCCGTCTTGATGCAGAACTTTATTATGTGAGAAACGACCTTATTAGTCACGACTCTCTGTCCTTTAACCTGTTACTACCCAGTGGGACAAATTTCCTGCACTTCACTTGGTGTTCGAAGTCCAAGATTTTATTTCCGTGTCTAAAACAAGTCTAGAAATAGAAGTCTCAGCTACTGTGATAAAAATAGCATGGCACTGGCAAAAGAGCAAATCTGAGGATCAATTGAGCACACTAGAGGATGCAGAAACAAGTCTCGAAATGCTCAGCGACCTTATTTTTGGCAAAGGAGCCAAACACCTTCACTAGAAGAAAGGTAGCCTCTTTAATACATGGTGCTGGAAAAACTGGCTTTCCGATTGCCAAGGGTTGAAACTAGGCCCATATCTCTCAGCATGCATTAACCTAAAATAGAAATGGATCAAAAATCTAAATATTAAAACAGAAACCCTAAATCTGCTTGAAGAGAGAATAGGTAAAATGCTTGAGGACATAGGAGTAGGCAAAGACGTCGTGAATAAAAGCCAGACCACTCAAAGAGTACTACAAAGAATCAACAACTGGGACCTCATCTTATTAAAAAGCTTTTGTACAGCAAGAGAAACCACCAACAGAGTGAAGAGGCAACCTACAGCATGGGAAAATTTCTTTTTGCCAGCAATTTGTCAGATAAAGGACTAATATCTGGAATACATAAAGAACTCAAAAAATCAGGCCCCCACATTTAGACACCCAATCCAAAAATGGGCATCTGAAATGAAAAGGCACTTCTCCATGAAGAATTAGAAACAGCAAATAAATATTTGAACAAATGCTCGGGGCCAGGCATGTAGCTCAGTGGTGCCGCACCTGCCTGGCAAGCACAAGGTCCTGAGTCCGATCCCCGGTAACAAAAATGTTCAACATCACTTGTCATTCCTGAAATACAACTTAAAACAACTCTGAGATTTCATCTCACTCCAGGAAGAATGCTATTAATCAAGAAATCAACCCATAACAAATGCTGGTGGGGCTGTGGGGAAAAAGGAACCCTTCTGCACACCCATGTTTGTAGTAGCACAGTGTGATGGCTAAGTCTTGGAAATAGCCCAAATGTCCATCAACTGACAAGTGGATAAAGAAGGTGTGTTTTTTCATACATGGGCGGACTACTCTACCATAAAGAAGGATGAGCTTCAGGCATTCATAGCTAAGTGGATGGACCTTGAGACCATACTCCTAAGTGAAATAAATCAGACACAAGTGTTTAAATACTGCATTGTGTCTCTGGTGTGAGAAACTGAAGTGCAGATAAGGACTGCAATGTATAATGGATGTTGGGAAATGGGAAGAAAGTATTCAAACGGGAGGGGTAACAAATGAGGAGGGAGGGAGAATGGAAAGAAGGGGCAAAAAAGTGGAAATAGAAGGAAACAATAGAAACAAAGCTTTTGTACATAAGGAGGGGAAGGGATTGGGGGGGGTGGGATGAAATAAAATAAAATTTATTTTAAAAAATTCTAACGCCAAAATCTTTAAGCATATTAGTCTCTAGAGAG